TAAATATTTATTAATTTTCATATCATAATATGTTTTTTAAATCAACATATATTTTATGTTTTAGATAGTGTACCGTATTTATTAAATAGACTAATCATTTTTAATTGTAAAATACTTTTTAACCTTCCAAATAACATGGAAAATTTTGGTGACAAGTGTTATATTAAATAACTTATTAATTTTATTTTAATATAAACTTTATTCTTATCACATTATGAAACTACTAATATTATCGATATACAGTATTTACAAATTCTGAATTAAATATTTATCGATAATTAAGTCTTACTATTTTTATTAATAAATAAATTGTTGATTAAATAATAAAAGTTTTATTCATTCCAATATTTGGCATCAATTTAGTGTTTATAATGATTATATGAATATTTAAATTGATCTCAATGTTAATGATTGTCATAACAAATGATATAACATTATAAGTAATAATGAACCTTATGTAACTTATAATTATTATGTGTGGAGTTTATTTAATAAGAGAAAATTTTAGATTAATTTCATATTTAATATTAATTTAGAAATTATTTGTGTTTAATATGTTAATCAATAAGATAATATTTTGGTAACCCTATAGCGTGTGCCAGGATCTAATAGATGATGGTTTCACAATTAAAAGTTACTGATATAGTGGTAATCAATTGATAATGAAAGGTAGTATTGTATGGATAATAGAGTGGTAACTGAATGTATGATAAGATGAATGATAAGCCGACACAAGACTCGGTCACAGAATGGAAGTCATAATTTAGGCTAAACTTATGGTTTGTCTCATTCATCGGTGTATTAATAGTGTCATCTCTTCCACTAATTTATGTTTCGTTTGGTTTATCACATTTGTCTTAAGATAAATGCCAGACATTTAACGGCAATTAACTCCTGAATATATGTTTATAATTACAAAGTTTTGATTTTGCCATTTATTTATCCGATGTCTGCCAACAAAAATATGTAATTCTTATAAAGGCTTTCATTCAATCTTATACTCAAAGAGAGGCAATTGAAAACTCGCTTTCGGCGTTACTAAATGAATAAATATTTAAAAGATTGCATATCACATATGGTATTTTCTCCAAATTATTGTTTTTGAAAGTTGTTATAATCACTACCCTAGTTTTGTCACGTTACATATACCAGTAGGTCTGCGACCACACCATAACCACCATTAAAGGGTCTGGTAAATGACTTTTAACATATCACCACTTACATCATTATACAATATTGGACTACCACTCAACTTAAATAAATTAAAATTTTAATATTTTGCTAATAATAACATAAGTTAATACTGTATTTGATTCTTATCTGTAATATAATTTACTACAATAGTAATATTTTATAATTTATAAAGTATAAAGTATAGTTTATAAATTATAGAGTATTAGAGTAAGTTATATGTAAAGAGCATCACCTCTTAAGGTGAATACATTACTCCCTAAATAAATTCAATTCAATTCAATACAATAGAAAATAAATGAATCAAAGTTTTTAGTAAGTTCTTATGGCATAAAACTTATTAAATAAGCTAAATAAGGGAAATAGGAGTAATATATACAACAAAATCAGATAACATAATGTACATTGAATATAAATGAACTAATATTTATATTTGAAATAAACTCTCCAATACATTGAGTAGATGTGATAAATAAATTAATTATTGAATGTGTATTTTCTCCGTAATGAATGAGTAATGGTGTTATTTTTATAGATCCTTTTCTGTATTGAAATGCATTTTGTTATGCAAATGATTGCTCTATTTTTCCCATTTTCTATAAATCAATGCAAACAAATCACATGAAAGGCAATAAAAGCGAATTTAAGATAAATAGTTGTAATTTCATTAAATGTATCATAATTTTGTGGTTTTTGACTCAATTTTCTCGGAGAATAGACGAGTCCTGGAAGGCGTCCAACTTATTAGTGATTCATATTTTTTTAGTGGTTTTCGCCTCCGAAATGAAATTTTGTTTCAATTCGGTTTGAGATTCAATGAAACGATTTCCATAAAAAGTTATTTTGCATCTATTTTTGTTTTTAGTTTAAAAATTATTTTAAGTGTAAGTACAGACATATTATAAATGAGATAACATGATAGTTTGTTTACAGTTTTTAACTGATTTATTATTTTTTAATAAAATCTTATCAAATATTAAAAACAAATTCATTAAATTCAAATCAATAGCTAAGTTTAAAAACAATTTGAATTCATTCACATTAGAGATAAATGTAAGAAATTTTCCCAGAAATGCTTAAGAGCTTGGTTTTCAAACATAATACATAACTAGAAGCTAAAGTATTTTCCATTAAATAAAAGATCATAAGATTTCAAAAGTG